CAAAGCATAAAGATTTACATTACGTGCTTTTCCCCTCAAACATCTTCCCCTTATAACAGGCCCAAAACTAAGTAGCTGCTTTCCTGACATGCACAGATGTTTTTATGGACTTTTATCAGCCACATATGGATATAGCCACATGCTAGATGGCGCTCTCATTAGGTGAATGTCCACAGAATTTAAAGATAAAATTGTCCAGAATGGTTTATAATGCTTTTAAAAAAGTTTTCTACAGATGTGGGAATGCCATGAACTAGGACTACAAATGAACATATTTCAGATCAGTAGCCATTTCTATTCCATTTTCTCACTTTGTGGAGAAAACTATATTTTATCCTATGAATCAGTTTATCATTTGTCGCAGCCAAGCCTGCTGTCCCTGGGGAGGCAGCCACGGCCGCCTTCCCTGAAGAGAGTGAGGAGCAGAGCCCAATCACCGGGGCCAACGCAGCCCCGAGCGAGGGGGTGCTCTGCAGAAAGCAGCCTGGCCAAAGGCGTGAGATTGTAGACCTGCCATCATCTCCAAGGAAGGAAAACAAAACTTTCTGGATTAACAGCCTTCAGGTTTTCTGCAAAACCAAGAAACGACAGATGGGATTACAGAGGAAAGGAGAGCGGAAAGATGGAAAAATGAGTGTAAACAAAAAACGCGGTAGGGATGTGTCTGAAAGAAGAGTAAAACCAGTGTACCAGGGTGCTCCTAACGAAACAGAAAGATTTGGGACAGAAAGGAGTTATAATCTCAAGCATTCACTTCTCAGGGTGTGGTTCCCATTGAGAAAATGGGATTTTAAAAATTAAGCTTTACCATTAACTAAATATTATCACAGGCTATATACTTCCATATTATGCATGAAATCAATCAGCCAGATACTATAAAATGCTTAATAATATCCCTGCTGTACTTCAAGCAGTAAAGAATGCAAGTTTGGCTTGATCTATTCACCAAAGTTTTTCCACTGATATGCCTAGAAACACCCCTGGGAATGCAAGACTGGAAGTGGACTTCTTGAGTCTCCCAAGATCAGGTCCCCCATCAGGATAAATCTTTTCATAAATTGGTAAACTCATCCTAAAAATAGGCAAGATTTATGCCTCCATTGCTGTGATGAAAGGCAGCCCCGGATAACCCCTCCCCGGTGGCTGGAGGGTGTCCACCTTCCAGATAACGAATGTCCCTGATCAGTCCTTGCCTGTTCATGTGAGCAAAAAGCAAAACTAACTCTTTTTCAGAAGGGAATAAACATCTGGATTAAAATACAGAGAGACTGGGATTTGGCCTTTGGTATTGATAAAGTTTCAATTGCCCGATGCGAAGGATGTGTGGGTAGATAATCTGCAGTGAAGCTGGTGGCTGGGAAGGCATTAACAGCTCACTCGGTTGATGAGAAACAGTGGCTCTGCGACAACATTTGGTTTGGCTGGCAAGGATTCATTTGTTCGAAAGACGCAGAGCCTGTTTGTTGCTCATTTTCGGAAACATCAGCTTCTGCTCCGTATCAAAAGCCAAAAAAGATTCCTTTTCCAGTTTTTTATGTAATACTGTATTTTTTTGGTTTCTGACAGGACAAAGGCTTTAAAAAATATTAGTGTGTATTTCTAGAAATAAATGTTAATTAGCATAACTTTTTTTAAAGTTTATATACCCCTCAGTAAAAATTTGGTCACTTTAACACAAGGAATAATAATTCCCTTTCCTTCCTTGTTTTTCAAAGTTCAAATGATGTGTGAAACAAAAAACTTCTTTTCTTTTTTTTTTTCAACTGGTTTTAAACCCCTCAAAATCTAAATCAACATTAAAATAACATTATTAAAATTATTTAAAATTAGGTAAGGAAAATCTAGGTATATAACAGCAGTTTTTACAGTGCACCACCTGTATTTTTACATGCTTACAAACTGTTTGCAATGTATTCTACATCCTCATCTAATATATTGTATCAAAAAAAATGAAAAGGAAAACATTACCTATAAAATTAACTACTTGTTGGGTTTCAGCCTTTCAGTGAGTTCATATGGCAATACTAATAGAGTCATTGGAAACCTCAGCTTTTATTTTCCTAATATTTTGTAATTTTAAATTTGTAACATTAATGTTACAACAAATATAATGTTTGCTTCATTTGGGTTTCTGTCTTAGGGTGAATTTCTGTCATGAAGAAGCGCAAAGAAAGAGAGCATACTGACTTTTTAAAAGATCTATCTACGCCTCAGCTTCTCTAACGTAATATCTGAAGTTTTCACAGAGTCCTGAGAAACAGAGATAGCTTTAAAGTTTCCTTCCACATCCCCACTTGCCCGATTTCCAGCACGGCCTAGGTCCAGGGTTTTGACTGAAGCTCATTTCTTAATATTTAGCTAATTTAAATGCTAATTAGACTAATTTGATGAATAAAACGTGGTAGGAATTCATTAACAACTTCACTGCTATTGCTTTATGTCTATAGAGAAATTTTCTAAAACAGGACTCCAGGGACAGTAGCGCATCTGTTACCAGTTGAACAAGTTGGATTTTTTGTAATACTAAACCTTAGAGTTGGTAATATACTGCAGAATCGCAGAACGATTTTAAATTTTCCAGATCTAGTCCATCTTGGACATAGGCCACTAATGACGAAGAGGCCTTATGCTGTCCTGGGCCCATTTGTTTCAGGGGGTTTGCTCCAAGTTTTATATACGGTGGAAGAAAACGTGCCCTTTCTCTGCCCCTCATTACAGCTGATACTGCTGTTGTTCTGCCTGACATTATTGCTGCCTGTATAAAGAACTCAAACTGTTCCCCTCAAGTCTGGTACTGTGGACAGACCTTCGTGGTTTTGTTTTGCCCCATGAAGTCAGTGAGGCAGAGGTGGAGCAGACAGAACAATGGATGAGATGATCTCTTTGGAAGAACAGTCTTGGGGAGGTTTGTTTTGTTTTGGGGTTTGGGATTTTTTTTTATTTGCTTTGATTTTTTTGGGGTGGGGGGTTTTTACTTTCTTTTTTACTGCAGCATGTGCCATTGCCACTGTCAACAAGGTACTTAAGCAGCTGCCAAATTTTCAATATGTGCCTGTTCACAAGCAAAAGTTGCTTTGGGGCTTAATTAGGTCACTGAATTTTAGTCTGAAAAAGACAGAAAAGAAGCAGCCCTATGAAGAACTTCCAACAGGACTTTATAAGGAAGAAAAAGAGGCTTCTCTAAAAACCAAGTGCCCTTCTGCAGAGCTAGCAGGGGGCTGTGTTACAGCAGTTTATGTCCCAGCTGACTTTCTCTTAAATGACGCCTGTGTTTCAGAAGCTCTGGGTTAAGGCTACCTTCCTCTCTCAAATTCCCCAGGGCTATTCCCCAGGTAGTGGTGAAGAAACCTGGCTTCCTTTCACATGTATGGACAACCACACTCAACGTGGAATACCTTTTCTACACAATACTATTGTTATTTAATGCTGCCTGTCTGCTAGGAACATACAGTGCGCCCTTCTCGGAATAAACGAGGCTGCTGCAGGAACTGCGATGCAGTCAGAAGTGAAACGGTCCGATGCGGAAGCCTGGCAACAGCGCTGTAATGCAAACAAAACCCCAACCATTTTTCACAGGGAAAATAAGTTTTCCCTGCTAATCTGACTAGTAATTGGCTGTTCAACTGAAAATACCTTTTCTCGGTGCTCGAGGTCTAAAGCTTGTTCCACTCTAAATCAGCAGTATTTATGTTGTGCCAGCTCCTCTGATTCCTACCCCATTAACTTTCCCTTGCCATCTTAAATTGAATTTAGAACTTATGAAAGCTGACAGCACTGCAAATGATGAACTTGGTGTCTCTCAGTGAATCCAGTATACCTGTCAACAAGCACATGCGCCTCACGATGTTGAGCCTTTCCCAGTCTTCCAGTGTTTTTCAACCACAATTTACCTGGAGGAGGGTAAAATCTTTTGTATCTGGTGTGTCACCTGGGCACTCATGGCTGAGACTGACAATGAGGAAAGCACTGGTGATAAAGTTTCCATGCCATGGGGATGTTTGTATAATATTTGTTGTCAGAAAGCATAAACTCATTTTGCAAGTCTTTTGCAAGTTTTTTGTGATATGGAAGCTTTTTGTTCACAGTGGTTTTGGCTTTTTTGACCTGAATGTACTATAAGGAACTGAAAAGGTCTTATAGCATGGCAAAAGGTAAAATGAAAAAAAAAAAAAAAAGAGTCCATTTTGGACTCTGATCTCTTTCTGTTTCAGCTTGTATGGCTGAAGTAGTCTGTGATTATTTTAATTTGCATGTAGAGCAGCAGCCCCCATGGTACCATCTAAAATATCCCCCAGATTTTGGGGAAATATGGATTCAGATCCCTCCCTGCTGAAGATTTTCTGTGATAATCAAAGTGGAATATGTAACTGAGGCAACTCAAAGGCCTGTAGGCATCTTTTTTCTTCTGAAAACAGATATATTTCTTGTATGACTTTTGAGTCCACATATGTATTCAGATACTTAATTCTGAAGGAAAAAAATCAGTGGTCTAATAGAAACCTAAATATCATTGTGGATCTCAGCATTATTATTGCTTTGCCTCAGTTTCCCACCTGTAAATATTCATAGAATCATAGAAACGTTTAGGTTGGAAAAGACCTTTCAGATCATCAAGTTCAACCATTAACCTAACACTGTCATCCCACCACTAAACCATGTCCCTAAGCACCTGTCTTTTAAATACCTCCAAGGATGAAGGGATTACTCTACATCACAGAGGATTCAAGAAGATAAACATTACAGATAGTGAGTAATGTGCTCAAGTATATCAGTGGTGGGGGCCATACAAACATACCATAATTAAAAGAGGATAGGAGGGAATGTAAAGGAGGTTATCTGTATTAAGAATACCATTTATCAGTGAAAAAGCTCCAAATCACTTTACCGCTATTTTAATTTAGTTCTGCGCTTGTTGGTGTTTTGTTTAAATTTTTGTTCCAGAATGCTAGAAGTAAATGTAATTAAGTTTACAGGTATTTCAAATGGAGGTCAGTACTCACTTCTACATGTTGACAGGTCTGAATGAGTTTCGCCAAAAGAGTTTCCAGTTCAGTGTTCCTCTTAATAAGGTTGGTGAGGTTACTTTCCAAATTTTGCTGCCAAAAAGAAAGAAAAGAACACATTAGCACTTTGAAGAATTTAATGTTTATGTGACTAGTTGAAAAATGGATATATTTTCAGGATCTGAATTTTGTTATTACACAGGTATGAACATGAGACTTTCATTTTGATCTGCTCCATTAAATGTTTTGTCTATGCATCAAGTATGGCAAGACAAGATAGCAGAACAATTCAAGATAAGAGTGAGTCCTAGAAAATAGAGTTTCTAAGGACCTACTAAAAACTGGAGTAAGCAATTAGTTTTAGTCAGGGGAAAAAAAAAAGGAGTAAGGAGAACAGCAGGGAGGCTAAAAACGTTTCACCAAAAAAAGTGGTTTATTTTATCTGAGAACACTTTTGGACTTATTTCCTGCTCTCAGTCTTACATCTGAATTTAAAATCCTGTTGCTAACTGAGGTCTCCAAACATGTGCCCCTTTGGGACTGTATTTGTAAGGACCCAGTAGATGGGTCAGCACTGAGAAAAAACAGGTAGCTTGGTGGTGGGAGTGGGGGGGGGGGGGGGGGGGGGGGGGGATTGATCTAATTGATTTAATTCCCTAGTTCAATAGAGTTATGTTTTTTTAATAAATATTTCTAAAGAAGAACATCCTTTCTACGCAGAAGAATGAAATACCTGCTCACAGGCTGTGCCTTCACTAATCACTCTGAAGAGAGAACTTGTGGCTTATGTCTGTGTTTATCAACTGATTATGGCTGCAATAAATATCTGCAACTGTGGGAGACCAGAGTGCTTTCCAGATCTGAGGCCGCATCCTGGCCACTGTGCATCTGCATGTGAGATTCGCTCCGTTATCCACAGGAAGGAAATCCAAGCACATAAGGAGGAGGAGGAGGAGGAGGTCTGTGATGGCTGTGACCCTGCTCCCTGATCTGGCTGCCTTGGGACCAGGACCCTGCCATGCACTGTGGAACTTGCAACTACCAGCTCCTCGCTTTTTACTACACATCCCGAGATAGCTGCTGTTTTACATGAAATTCCATCTTCTGGAAACACATGGGTGTGAAAATGTCCTGCTTTTGCATAAATGCAAAGTTTCCAGGGAGATAAAAAAACCTCTGTACATATAACTTGAGTACATAAAAAAGAAGAAGAAGAAAAAAGAAGTAAGCCCTTAAAAAGAGTCCTGACTGTAAACACTTGTTTATTTCAGTAATGTCAGAGGTGTATATTTCATTTTGAAAATCCTGGGGACTGCTGGCGTGGCAAGCTGTTCCTCATGGTTATTTGCCTAGGTAAGTGTGCGACACTAGTCCCTTGCTTAGTATTACTGACAGGCTGACAGTCCCTGCCTTTTAATTTGTCCTCTGAGCAGTCCCCGGTATCTATGAAGGACTGAACAAGAATACCAGAGCTGGGCCCTGCGCTTCTCTCCTCATAAGGGCTGTAGTGTCTCTGCAGAGCTCTCATTAATTTCATCCCTCCTCATCTTTTATTAATGGGTTTCTCTTCTTCACAAGACTACTTTTCCCCTCGATGTATCTATTCCATTGCTCAAGTTCCTTCAGCTCCCATGAACTCGCATGACTTCTCTCATCCTTCCCTCCCACCCCGTGCCACCTCCGTGCATACATTTAACGTGTGTGTGTGTGCACGCGTGCACGCGTGTTTTCTGGTGCTGATACTCCCTGCCTACTTCCTGCTGTTTTAAAACACTGCGTTCCTTGCCCTCCCTTTCTGCAGCCGTGCAGCCTCCTTACTCCTTCTTGCATATGGCTACAAATGAGTGAAGCTGGCAGGATTTCACTGCCGAACCATACGTACTTTGGCATTTACCAGGGCAGATGCTGTAAACACTAGAGGAGCAGTCAGTCCTGCTCCATTAAAGATAGCACGGGATTTTGATAGCTTTATGTATATAACCCTTCCGAGAAGCGTGATGGGTGTTTGAAGTACATAATTTTGGCGTTTTCTTCCCAGCACAGCCATGCATATCGAGTATCACAAGCTCTGGCTGTAAAAATACCTTCTACACTGCATTTATTTTATAGCCCATTAAAACAAAGAGTAACAAGGAGGGGCATTCTTTACCGAACAGTCTGAGCTGTATCTTATATTTCCATAAGCTGTACTGTGAATGATCACTTAATTGCAAAGGCATGTTTGCTGTGCTGTTAGATGTCCCTTTGTAGAGCTGAGACTCACATGCAAAGTTAAAATACTGCATATAGTTACAGTATCAGATAACCTTTGTCTTTAAAAAACAGTTTGTAAAGGGAGGTCCAAATGCGCAAATACTCTTGAAATTATATTTTTACACCTTCTTATTGTCCATATATTCATTTTGTACATGTTCTAATATTTTATACCAAAAGATTTAAAATGAAAAATGTAAGTTCTTGATTAGGACTGCCTAATTTCAAATGTATTACCAGACACAATAAATGCTAACAGTTGGGACCTTTGCTACTATGAAGAAAAAAGGTTCTCAAAGCTTTTATGGAATACTTCAGTGATTTTCAATAACTTGAAAGTGTCTTGAACTAAGGCCATTATTATATGAAGAGCAAGTATTTTTCTCTGAAACAGAAATTTATTTACCCATAGATTATATGTGGATTATTATACCCAGGATATTTTTCAAACCCTGGATAAAGAACAAAACCTTAGAATTAAGTTCTCTATCCAGTGAATATAAACACAAACCCATATATATTATTATGGTTTCACACAGATCTCTTGACGTCCTCTGCATTTCCCAACCATGAAAGTGGAGAATAACTACTGAACAAGTGAGTTGCCTTACAAAAATTAGAGTTAATGCATTCCTGTGCTATAGCTTCTTGAACTGTGTCCTTTTCAAACTGGAAAGCCTGGCATTTTGTTTCCTTCAAGTTTGGTATGCAAGAGATTGGGGTCTCTTTAAATCAAGAAGTATCAGAATGTTGATGAACTTCTGTTGAAAACATCAGTTTTTATTAATGCTTTACTAAATAGCAAGAACTGGCAGCTGCTTTCTGAAATTAATGTCAATTTTTTCAGCTTCACTAGGGTAAGTACTGAATGGCAGCTCTTAAAACTGGCCTGACTTGAACATTTTAAAGGTCATAAAGCTCGACCAATCCTTGCAGTATGTTTATCCAGATTTTCTCGTGGCAGTACCTTTCTCTAGTTCTTTCCCCTATTCCATTCCCATATGGACCATGGCACCACTTTGGCTGCCACACAATAGTACGCACCAGAAGCGGAGTTCAAGCCCTGCATTCTTTCTTTGCTCTGCACGAGGGGGGCTGGGAAGGGCCTGAAAGACTTTTAAGCTTCAGAAGTAGTTTAACTTGCTCCCAGACTTTCCATAGTGTCACAAACTCATTTCGCATCCACACCTGTAACTTCCCAGTTTGTGTAAAACTTCAATGCCAAATTTGGTGCTCTGGCCATTTTGAAAAATTGATCCAGGGCTGTAGAGCAGAATTCCTGGGATAGTGAATTATAGCCAGGTTTTAAGCCTGGAGAAGATGCGCTCCCACATTATGATGAGTATATGTAAAAAGGAGTGGCAGAATAAGCTTATTCAAAGTATCTTCGTTCCTCCCACCTAATGTCCTATTGCCATTCTCTTAGGTGAATCAAATTACAACTTTGTTTTTGGAAATGTTCTAGGTAAATTGTAATTTCTTAAATATTCCCACCTACCTTTCTTTATCTTTTTTGTCACTTACCAATTTTCGTCATCACCCGTGTATTAAAAAATGATCTTAGAAATGCAGGGGTTGGTTTTTAAAAGAAGGACAATAGTTGTTGTGCATTTGCTCTGTGAACAGGCTTCATGCACGTTAATTCAGTGGATGCAAACTGCTCTAAAAAACCAAAAGCCAGGCTGAATGCTTTCTGACGTAGCCTGAATGCTGCAGACCTAGCTCAAGATCTTGACATTCCATGCGTGCTTTGCCACTGTTTTTACAATACCCAGTATAAACTGAAAAGAATGCTTACTGTCCATTTAGCACGGTCTGACAACTATACAACATAAATATTCCTATAATCTTGGGATAAATCCAAGCAGATGGAATCGCAGGCATGTAATTGAAAAGGACAGTTGAGGATGTTGTTTCATTTTGACTCGGCATGCCTATAAAATGATATGATCCAGGGACTGGAGCCTGAAGTTGGAAAAATTAATGCTAAAAATTAGAGGAAGGCAACTCAGGACTGAATGCCTTCTTTAAGCTGCTGTCTAGCTCACAGTGAAGTCATGATCTTGTTGCAGCAACGATTGCGTGAGTCTTGTGCCCTGATTGAAGTGGGAGGTCAGACTAGATGATGATAATGGTCTCTTCTGGCCTTTAAATCTATCAGTCTATGAAAACCAAATGTGAACCCATGCCCTTTGCCAAATTAACAGTCTCACGCAAGGCATCGCTTGTCTAAAATAGGAAGGTAGCACAGATAGTCCTAAGCTACTATATGGGTTGAAAAAGCTGTCAAAATAAATTAATGTAAACTTCTTAAGATGAAAAATGCTGACTTGTGTGCTCCTGCCTTACGTCACAGCAGAGAAAACAACAATATCCCAGAGATCTTCTCAGAGGCATTTTCGTGGCCCATAAAAAAATGTCTATTCAAAGGGCCACAAGATGAAAGCTATCAGCTACAATGAGATTTTAAATTCCATTTGAAGTAAAGCCACTGTCTTTTTCTCATTAAAAATATTCTTTTTTCTGCCATTGTTAAATATAAATACTTATTTGTATTTTCCACTCACTGCTTACTGGAAGGTTTTGAGAACCGATCCACTGAAACTGCAGCACAGACTCACACACTGTGGGACGGTACTTTGTAACAACAGCCATGCTCACCATTTGCATCAAATCCATCATGACCAAAGCCCTTCAGCAGCGAACATTGACAGCAGTTTGCATTTTCTCTGCTGCTGGTGTAGAACTGACCAAGGTAAGGCATATTTTGAGGCTATCTCCTGATTTAAAGAAGAAAACAACTTTGGAGAGCCTTCTGGGCTTATGAGAGCCCTGCATAG